AATTAATGCAGCTCAGTTGAACAATGAATACCTAAAATTAAAAATGTCATATCGTTTCCCCACTTTCTTGTCCAGCGAGCTTGAACATGTCGTATGCATTTTGATCCTGGCATGCAAGTTAAACTTGCACGGTAATTCATCGTGTAAGTTCAACTTGCACGACCCAATCGTCCTGGATTAACTTGAACACCTCACCACGACATGCATGTTGAACTTACATGGAAAAACAATTGTTCATGTTAACCTGGATTGCATGTTTCGTGAAAGTTCAGAGAAGCACTTCATCACGGCCAGAATAATGATCGTATGCTAGAGCTACCGGCTCTTGCTTTATTTTTTTAAAGATGCACGTCAAACCCCAGGAAATGATGCGACTGATCACACGCAATATAAAATGAAAAAACGGTACTGCCTAAAAATTAAAGATTCTGCAATCATTATTCATCAATGCCTGCATTCAAGCCTTTCTGTCAACTGCACCTTTTTTACTTTAATTATTTTCCTGGAACGCGTCATTGACCCGTGTCATCGAGAGTTGCACAGGGTACCATTGGCTATGCATTCACCTGTTTTATTTTTGCATGTACCGGTACAACTGCAGTGCAAGTATGTGCCCACTCCCGGTGCTCATTTTCTCCACCTTGTCGTCCTCTAACGCGCTCATCGCAACCGCAACCAGGTTTCTCAGGTTAAATGGTCCACGATCCGCGTATCAGAGCGATGTCATAGATCTTAAGAGTTGTCAGTTGCTTCTGTGAGCCTACTTCATGTCATCTGCGGCCTTTCTCAGTCCCACTCTCGCCCTTGCCCTATGATTGCAGAAAGAGATTCGAGAATTTTGCCGTCATATGAGGCTTTTGAGTTGTCCCTTGGAATAGCATCGTCTTGATGCTCTGAATGAGACTCAATCTCATCTAGAGGCGACACGATGTCGGACGGTTCATAGGAAACAACTGGGCCAGCCATGTGATCAATTTCGACAGCTTTCAGATAATGATTGCCAAGAAGTCGAGTGGGATCTATCAATACATAAGGACCTTTGTTGCGTGTCTGGGAGCGACAGTCTCGTCAACGACCTTCGAGCTCCTCCTCTGTATGGAGGGAACACCTCCTCAAAATGATTCAGCATCAACTTAGGGAACGATGTGGTCACCATGCCAACTTTAGGCTCGTTACCAAAGAGTGCCTGATACGGAGACTCAACAATCACATGGTGATGGCAGAAACTTTTGTTATTAATGGGCGAATCGCAAGACAATGAGTGGTGTTCCTTACCCGCATCCATGTCAGAGCGGGTCATGTATGCATGGCGGGTCATGTATGGTCATGTATGAACGCTGCATTGCAGCGTTCGTCGCTTCCTAAAGATTGTGGATGGCGTGGATGTCAATGGGCTATTTTCAGTTCCTGCCACATGAACGTTAGTTCTGTCATGACTTCGGTAAATAATTCTCGCACATTGTCGCTCTGAAGAATACATGGAGTTCCTAGTAGAAGGAACATGTCCAGTAACTGGTAAGCAACTTCAGTTGCTCGTTCCGATCGTAGCACACAGAACTTGGTTAAATGATCCTGGTAGTTCATGATCATCTTGAACTCCCCATCTCTATCTGACTGCATGTCAACCAAGTGAACCAGCGCCTTCCTGAAGTCATCAAATGTCAGGGCGTAACTACGAGCCGTTTCGAGCCTTTCTTTGCCTTCCCTTAGAGGCAGTCTTTTTTCCTTGTTCTCCAAAAATGATCACGAGGATGTCTCTGGCATACTGAATCAGTGTCAATTTATATTGGTAACATCTGAGTATAATTGTAGCGAATCTCCGGTTTTTATTATTCCTCTTTCATTGGCTTCATCAGCTTCATTCTAATTGACATGCAAGACTCCGACAAAAAAATTTGAACATTGGAAGCGATGTTCGAATATATGAAAGCATAGGGCAGGGGCAATGTCCTCCGGAACTAGCATGGGTGTTTGACCAATGACCTATTTGCTTCTTTGTACCTGTTCATTGGCTGATTTTCGCCATATCAATTAAACTGAAATACCAAGGACCTTTTAGGGACTAATAAATCTATACACAGAACAGGTTTTGGTCAAGTGGGAGTAAATATATAATGCTCAATGTCAACGGTCTTCTATTCATAAACTGCATATTTTCAGGTTCACTAGTAAACCTCAATTAATACGTTTTCATAAAAAATATGTAAATATATAAATGGATTCTTTTATTCAAACTGTTTATACATTATTACTGTAGTTTTTATTTCATTGTCCTGCGCTTAGACCCTACTGCATGCGTATTTTCACCCTCAATACCATTATTTGTGTCCTATTATGCACCTTTGGGGATCCTTCATAGTCAATTTTGCGCCCTTTGGACATGTATACATACCCTTTCTTGCCAGTTCAAAATTGGACAATTTTTTTAAACTCAATTTGCTTACATCCGGGATACGCAAAAGTTCCAGTATTTTATAACTGAACATTCGGTTAATACCTGTATATACATTTTCCTGAAACTTCTTTGCCACAAAATCTTCATCGTTTAACACATTTATAATTTGATTAGTAATTTATTAATTCAATAATAATTTTTTGAACGAATTGCATTTTAAATGTGATTAATTGCAGCTTCCTGTGAGATCATTTTCTTAATACTGAAAACTACATATTCCAAGGCGACCTTACTTCTTGCCGCATGGTTTAAAAGATGGCTTCTACCTGTGGAAGGTGTCATACGTATAATTCGTACGCGTATACACTCCCCTGGAACATCATATCAATATGTATATTTAATCACTAAAAATGGCTTATTTTCTTCATCTAGAGAACAACAAAGTGGCACCCATACACGACACTGTGCTAACTGCCTCAACCTCATCTTAATAGAGGGCATGTGTAAACATCACAGTCGACAAGGTTAGGCACAAATTCTCACTCGCTCCATGCATATGGTAAAGACACCAATAGCTCTATTTTCAGTATTTTTCCTTCACTTTTTGAAGTGAACGAGTAGAAAATAATTTTGGTTGAATATGCTAATAAATATGATGATATTATCTCAAGACTCTTTTTCATTTGACTCCATGCCATACCGGGACTGCTTGATGAATACGTAATAAACAAGTGCAATCTCATTCATACATTCAAGATAAACAAATGTTTGAAGCCAAACACTTTTGAAAGGAAAACTGTTTTCAGACGAACAGGGAAAACTGTTCTCAGACAGCTATTGCATTTAATTTCCTACATGGATTTCCGTCCACGGAGACTCCATCTTCAAGTGAAAGAAAGGAATGAAGGCATCTGCATCCCTTAAAATATCCCCACGATGCGCATTCCTTATCGTGCTCTTCAGAGCGTCTCATGCCCAGTCCCTCGTACTAGTTCATCTGAAGCAGCAGCTCACTTTTTTTATTGAAGGCACCTCTTCACTCTAGGCGAAATATGCGAAAAAAGTCCAATGACGCAAAGAAAATGATGATACTTTAAATTCTCAGGACTATGGAAAGGTTCTGATACTGGTTCATAGCAGAAACTTAATCAAGTGGTGCAGTGTCCAGTAGTCCATTCCAACTAAACCAAACTTTCTCGAGTGGAACCAATTACTTTTTTCACAGGTTCACCACTGTCCTGTAATTAATGTCGGTCATATTACAGCTGCCTCGTAATATGATTACGGCCGATTATATTTTCCTTCAACTGCACGCATGCGAACGAGGTGGCTTCTTTTGTACCCTCTTGGGGGATGGATTTGAAGTGGATGGAGCGGGAGTTCTCTTCACTGGACTTTATCGCATGCAAAATTGGTGAGAAAGAGAAACAGAAATATGCTGCCATCAAGCTGAAGAATTACTGTAAATAAATTTATAATTTTTTAGGTTCCCTGAATTTTCACACACCCCGTATGTACATATTTTAACGGTCCAACTGGCACAGCAGGCTGTGAATGTCCTCACCGGAGGACTGTATATGAAGGACATGCTGAATATGAGGGAAGAGCTCTCTGTGAGTCGCCCTGTGGAAGTCGTGGTACGGGCACGGTCGCCTAGGTGTCACGCCTGTCCTTCCACACTTCACCCTCGTCGAGAGATCCTCCTCGTTAACCTTCTGGACGTACGTAGATCTTAGCCACCTCGATCTCTATTTCACACTGGTGACCAGAGACTAGAGACAGAGTCATGTTTCCAATTTAAACCAGTACTTCAGCTTCTAAATGAAGGGAAAGGACGGCTAGTGCCCTAGGATCGGACATACCTAAGGAGTGAGGTTCTCCCTTTACTACGATTATAAATCGAGGGAGGAAGAGGGGGGAGGCGATTCTCGGAAATTCCAGCGTCATCACAACGGTTATAAAGTTTATCGCCTTTGGATGATGAGTTTTCGCTCTCCGAACTGTTTCCCTCGGGAGTTGCCAGTCCCGTATCACCTCGTCCTCCTCTCACGCAGGAGATTTAGACATAACTGTCTGTTACCCCTCCATCCCCTGTCAATGATGTTTGGTTGATTGATGGACAAGTACTTCGTTCATCCTCCCACTGTCCCTTTCCAAATTAATCCTGACTTGTATTAACTCTGAGAACCGAATGAGCGTTTCCGATCCAAGCGGACGATAAAAAGTACCCTTTCACTGTCAAACGGAAATGAAAAATCTGCAACTTCCTTCTGTGAACGTTAGTGGAAGTGGCTTCGGATTTCCGGACATCAGGAGACGCGAATGCCAGTGAAAAAGTGAGTAAAAACCCTTTTTCCATTATGTTGGGAGTGCCTACTTCGCGAAAAGAAAAAAGAAAAAAGAGACTTTGTTCAGTCAGGTTGTCAATAAATCAGGATGCACTAGCATTTCAGAAACATATTTATCCTGAAAAAATATGAATACCCATAAGGTTCAGCTACACAAAAATTGACAGCATGAATATTATAGACACAACTCAACACAGCATAAGTGCCACGGTGGAAGAAGCCGATCGGTGTAGGCACAATACCTTTTTGAAGAAGCGTCATTTGATTTTGTCCAGGTCTATCATGTGGGCTATCTTCAGCCGGCGGGCGATTGGCTTCAGGCCGTAGGTAACGATGGGCTGGACTTCGAGTCGGTATGTCTTCATTGCTGTTGAGGTCGAGAGCCGATGTGAGTTGTGGAGGCTGTCGATCACCGCTGCCGCTTCATTTTTCTTCTTTTCCACGAAATTGGTGAACGTTAAGGTAGGTTGTAGTGATACCCCGAGGTAGTCGAAACGGTTGACAATCTCTACATGGTGCACCCCAAGTGTCAGTCATACTTAGCCGGCCGCCTTTTCTAAACTTCATAATTTTTGTTTTCGCGATGTTCACCTGCAGGTAGTTAATGTTTGACCGTGCCAGGAGCGCATCCAACCCGGATTGGAGGTCGTCCCGGGAGGGTAGAAAGAGGAGAAGATCGTCAGCGTAGAAAAGCACTTGTATGGTCGGGGCAGCCCTTTTGAGTGCGTTCGCCAAGCTTGATATGCATGTGACAAAGAGGGTTGAGCCCAGGCTGTCTCCTTGGAGCACTCCTTTCCGTTGGGAGATTGGGGACGAGATTCTCAGACCATCCTAGATGCGGAGGTAGTTGGTGTCGATGATTGCAGCTATTATACTGTAACGGGCACGAGGCGCAGTCGGTAGGATTGCTGATCATATCAACTATTAATTAAGTTCAAATAGAAACTTTA